AACATTTGGACAACAAACATACTATGACAGCACAATTAAACTTATGTGAAAGCTTCTTTAGAAGAAGGAGAATGTTGAATAATATAATTTTAGTTTTACAAATTGTAACCTTTATTTTAGTTTTACAAATTGTAACCTTTATTTTAGTGGTAACTTATATTTTAGTTTATTTTAAGATTATATTTTCATTTTAGTTTTATTTATTCAAATATTACTTTTGTAAAAAAGATATAAATACGTTGTAAAAAAGTATAATAAAATAGATAATAAAAAATAAATTTTTCGTTTTCTCTACAGTCTTAAATGCTTGAAAAATTTAGACATGGCCAAGCCTAATAAAACTAAGGCCCATGCAACTTTCATATTCTGATTGTATTTTTAAATGCATTATGACTTTTTATATATTTTATTTCAGTTCTCAACTACCAAAATTATTATGGTCTTTGGCGGGTTTGAGAAAATCCCCAAGTGCGTAAACCTGCTTAGGAATTTTTTTAGTATTACACAGAATATTTATATGGCTCTCAGGTAAAAGCTAATTTAAATATATTTTTACTCAAAAAAATAGAATTTTCACTCTTAGTCTTAATTGATTGGCCTTTGTCTGAAACAGAAACCTTCATGGGTTGGGCCGGCCCATGGATCGGGTATGGGTCTAATATTATATTTTTAGCGGGCCTGGGCCGGGCCTGAATTTATATAATTATTTTTTAATGGGCTTGGGCCTAAAATTATTTAATTTAAATTATTTAAAACAGTTGCTAATTTAAAGAAATATTGCCTTTTTTCTTCTAATAATAATAAATTTCAGTATTATAAGCAAAATGATTGCCTAAAAATATTTAAATATTGTTTATTTTCATTAAATAAAAACGAATTCTATTTTTGGATATGGGCTGGGGCCCGTTTGGAAATTTTTTTTGAAACTTATCATGGGCTTGGGAATTTTTTTTAACAGGGCTTGGGCCTATAAAATTTTTTTACTGCGGGCCTGGGCCGGGCTTGGTCAAAAAATTAAGGCCCATGGTCTGAAGTAGGGGTGAAAGGGGTTAAAAAGAATAAAAAATATAGTTTTTAAAGATTTGCCTATCTCCAGGCTTGGGAAAAATTTTTCAAAATTACTATGGGTTGGCCAAGCTTGAAAAGAATTTTTTATAAAATTATTATGGGTTGGGCTTGGAAAATATTTTTATATATTATATTGGGCTGGGCTTGGGAAAAATTTTTCAAAATTATTAGCTTGGGCGCTTGAGAATTTTTTTTATTAACTATGGGTAGACCTGTGCGCCCACAAACTATCGACGGCCCGCGTAATTTTCAAAAAATTTTATCGACGGCCGGCGGCGCGCCGATTTTTAGCCGCCATCAACAAAATCGGCGTAAATCGGCGCAGTTATAAATTTTTATAACATAAACTTTTTAAATTGCTTATTATTTTTTAAAAAAAGGAATATACATTACTCTACAGATATCTCGGCTTATTTTTTAATATTTATTTAATAGAAAACTCATTATAAATCCAAAATCGATTTCGTAATTTTATAATTATCATGTATATTTTATTTAAATTTTCGGGATAATAATGATCCCCTTGAATTTAACGTCAATCCAGCGGTAGAGAAAACTCTTTCACTAGGTGTGCTAGTCACCCAAATGCAAAGAATTTTTTGGCGCCTGGAAAGATTGGGAAGTTTACTCTTCTTTTCCCTCCAAAAATTTAGAACGTCCATATCTTGTGAATATCGTTTTCCAAGAAAACTATGGTATTCTTGTTCTAAGTCACCTAACTTGGAATCATAATTTATATTTGTTAAATGTTTATTTGCCCATTTTGTCAAATAATTTAAATTTAATAATTCATCTTGATCCTCATTAGCTATATTTACTAACCTGATTATCATCATTCTCTATAGGCTTAAGATGTTTTATTATAAATTCTGAAGCTGAACAATTTTGCTCTATTAAATACTTTGACACAATTGTCAATTTTTGAAATCTTGGATCTAAAAGAGAAGCCATTACCTAGATAATTTTAAATAAAAAATAAAAGAATATATTATTACTTGCAGAATACACACCGAAAATCGTAACGCAAGTTTTTTTTAGCATATTTTCCTTAAGTGAAATGATTTCAGAACTATCACTATCATTTATTATTAAATTTGTTTCAATTTCACTTTTAAAAGATAACACCAAGTTTAAAGTAGGCCCTTTTTGTACTGAAAGAAATTCGACAGTTTCTTTAAATTTTGAAAGAAATGCTAATAGTTCTTCTACCAGCTCAGATTCATAATTTGATAAAGTGTTTCCTAATTCTTTCAAAACATTATTAATTAAATTTTTATTTAATCCAGATATGCTTTCTAGCATAATTAATATACTATGCCAAAGTGTTGGGACATTTAATTTTAAGGTTTTAATATGCGTGGAATTATTGTTATTATTATCATTTGAATTGCCAATTTGAAAACGGGTATCCGGGTATGGATCAAAGCTGTCAAGAGCTAACATGTCTGATGTTAAATTTATTGTACTTAGACATTTTTTTGATCTTCCTTAATTCTAATTCAACCTCTGCAGTTTTATATCTTAGAGCAGTAATAATTTCTCTAATTCTTTTGCAAAAAATTTTCCAGACTATGGATTTCTTATTATTCAGAGTTAGGATACTAAAATTATTTATAGAATTATTAAATGTAGACATCCATTTTTTAAAATATATAAAATTATGGTAACTTTTGGAATTTTAGATTTTTGATTGATTGAATTCTATAATGACGTCAATATAATATAAAAATTTATCAAAATCCTGATTGACATTAAAAAAATTACAACAGTGATGTTGACCAATTATTAGAATAAAAAGGTATGAAATATGAAAGAAATTTCTGCGCCGGCCATGCGCCGCCGCGCCGATATGAAAATCGGCGGCGTTTTCGGCGCAACCAAAAATATTTTAATATTCATTATGATTTTTTCAATATTTATTTCAGTTCTCAAGTACCAAAATTATTATCATCTTTCATTGGGCTTGGAAGAATTTTTTCAAATTATTATAGCTTTGTACCTAGCTTGGGAATTTTTTTCCATATATTAGGTATAGGTGATCAATAATATTTAACAAAAAATATTGATATTATCAAATAAAGGCTTTAAATATATTTTTACTCAAACCATAGTATTTACACTTAGTTTTAATGGATCTGGTTTGAAGAGGGGATGGGGTAAAATGAATAAAAATTGGATATTATTTTCAAATAACAGGTAACAACTATCATAAAAGTAAGGAGAAAATTCTCATTCCCCGTCATTTTTGACCGGGTATCTACTAGTTATATTATATATGTACTTCTAGTAGTATATATATTTTTTTTAACAAAATCCTTTATTTCCTTAAAAATAGGAATTAAATTATTAATATCCACTATATATAATTTGAGACAAAGGATTATAATAAATAATTGAAATGGAACAAACCCGTTATAAAATTTAAATTAACAACCGGATAGAAACTGAATCGGTGATATCAATATAATATATGCCAGACCCGTATTATAATTATAAAAAAATCAAGAGGTGGGAATTATTTAATATTTCCAAATTCCATTTATAAAACGGGTCGCGCTGAGACCTATTTACCACTGTTGAAAACATGATTATCAAGACCTATTTACCACCGTTGAAAACATGATTATCAATTTTCAAATGAGCAATTAGGGATTATTTTCCTACTGATATTTCGAGTAAATAGGATCAAGAAAATTGACTTTTTTCCTTCAAAATTTGTGATTTAAATCATAAAATATTTTTTATGTATAAAAATCACAAAAGGTAAAAAATTTGGGCCAAATTTGATCAAAAACCCTGCTTAAGAATTCTCAAAAAAAAATTCATTACTTTTGTACTGAGCATTTGCAAAACCTTGGTTGAAAATTCAGGGATGTGAACCCTTTGACAAAAAAAGGATCCGAATTCAGGAATAAAATCTTTAAAAATGGTTCGGGTTCAGAATCCTTTGGAGAACATAAAGAAATATTGTCACCTTTTCTCCATTTATTTATATTTTATAATCCATATAAATATAGGGCATAATATACAAGTAAAAAATTTAAAAATTAATTTATAATTTAAATGTTATATTAAATCGCATAGTCTTAATGTCATTTAAAACTATGATTACCTACACTACAAAACAGGCGTATCCAGGATTTGTTAAGGGTGGGGGGAGGGGTGGGCTTATTCCCCATAATTTTTATGAAGATCTCTAGGTCCATTAATAGTATGATTAGCTTTATCAGATTTCTTATAAAAATAATTTTGGATTCTCACTTTTTTTATAAAAATGATTTTTTCTAAAAATTCTAAAAAAGTTATTAATTTACTAACTTTTCAAGATTCTTCCTTATAGTGATATATATTGTATACATTTTTGGGAGTGAGAGGTTTGTAGGGGAAAATTTTTATTAGTTTAAAATAATATTTAAGAGAACAGGCAAATATGTGATGTCCACCCTTGGTTACGCGTCTACTATATCACAATATTTCACTTTCTAAAATTTATATTATGGGACCTGCAGTGACACTATTTGCACGGCCCAGGTATTATTTTTAAAAATATATTTAGACCTGGGCATTTCAAATTTTAGGCCTGGCTTGAGTATATATAAAAAAGATTAAAATACTGCAGGATGATTTATATGAAACGAGTTAAAGTTTTTTATATAGCATATTAATAAGTTACCATTTATAATAAAATACCTAAACTACAAAATTCACAATATTTAACTTTCTAAAATTGAAATAAATAAACAAGATGTTACTTTTAAAATGGAAGATAAAATCCAGAAAATTTTGAAAAATGGGAATCCCTAAAAATACATTATGCAGATATATTTTTAACAACTTTCAAAAATTGTTTGACTTGTAATATTGATGTAACAAAGTTGTTAGAAATATATGAAAATGTTTTACATATCATTGATACATATAGAAAATTTTATATATAAAACATTTCAAAAACATGAAGCTTTTGAAAATAAAGTCAAAAATTCGTAATGATAATAATAATAATTTCGCGAAGTTCTTGTAGATAAAAAAAATATATACATGTTACTTTGGCTATATATAAACTGACTTGTACCACAATTATAGTTTTTTAATTTTATTAACAAAATGTTATATAAAATTTTTTAAAATAAAACTTTAAAAAATGCTAATATGGGATAAAAAATAAATTAATGTATTCATTTATAATAATGGTAGGATAATCTTGTTTTTTTTATTATAAATATAACAAAATTAAGAACTATAAATATCTACTGCCATCTATATTATTAAAATATATTTATATTTCCAATCAATATGATTAAATAAAATTATCAAAAATAAATTAAAATGAGATTATCAAAGTAAAAAATTTTTTAAAATTATAAAGTACAAAGCTCTATTATTGTAAAAAAAAATTGAACAAAATATAAAAGAATATAATAAATAAAAATAATAAAATGCGATTAATAAAAGTTATCACATTTTTCATACTAATATTTCTTTTTTAACAAATCTTTTTTATCTGCTCAGTATGCTAATGACAATCACCAATCATATCTTGTTCAAATCAATATGCCTATTATAAAAAATTCTTTATAATATTTTTGGACTAAATTATTTCATAAGTTGTGATACAAATAAATTTCTAAATCAAATTATAAAACTGTTTTTTTTTACTTCTTACTTAAAGTGGCTATTAAATGCGCCAAAGTAGTCCCTAAAAAATCTTTCCAAAATTTAATTTATATTATACATCATAATCTATTTTAAGCTAAAATATTTTATTAAAGCCAGAAAAAAATCAGATAAAAATATTAAAATGTTGCATCTATAAGTTACACATTACCTAAACAAAAGCTCTTATAAGACATAATCAAGAGAAGATTGTATCTTAAAAAAAATAACACTTATAAATATCTTGGAAACATCTAGGATTTGATTTATCAGTAGAAATCTATCATAGGAAAATAAATTAGTGCAACAACATGCCAATAGGAGAATTTATATAATGGAATATTCCTTTTATAAAATATTTACATGTTTGCCATTATTGTGCTGAAGCTATCCTTTAATCAAGACTATATATTAAAAAATTACACTATTTACGGGCAAATACCATTATTAGACCCTGGACAATGGAATGCCCTTCTCCTTTTCGATGAATCCCGTTTTAAAATTAACTGTTAAGGGAGATCGGATAGTCAGAAATAAGAATGTAAATCCTTTCATGCTGATTTTTTTAAAAGAATTAAATATCAAGGAAACACAGTGATATGGATCTTAAGAGATATTAGGTTATCATCTTCACCCGCTGCTAATGCCCATTTGATAATTTCTGGCACTTTTGGTTTACCAAACATTCCAAATTTTAGCACATTTTGTTTTGCTATTAATAGCAGGATGAATTCTAGAAATTGCATATGTACTCTTTATTGCATGCTTTATAAATTTGTATAAACAAAAATTTGTTATATCAAAGCGATAACCAGTGGTCTACAGCAGGTAGAACAATAAGATTCTTGAGCAAAATAAATTAAAGGCCGGGCCAGAGTTTTGGGAAAAAATCTTAAAACATATAATTAGGAAAATTTTATGGTTTTACTTCATGAAAAATTTTATAGGCTGGTTACCTTTTACATTACATATTTCACGAGACCGGGTAAAAATAATTATGGGTTAAGCTAAATAACCAGCTAAAAAAATTTCATGTATCGGCCAGGGCCCACCTCTATTATGTTATATTAATTAATATCCAAAAAAAATATCTAAAAATATCTGCATCTTTTTGAGATTAAATCTTAGGATATAAATACTTTTCAAAGATTAGTATCCAAAATATAAGATACTTCCGAAAATTTTTATAGTTAAATATAAGTATCCACAACATAACGTGCCAACAGAAGTTCGCCTGCAATCAAAATTCAAAACTGAACAACATTCAAGATTCGGGGTTTCATGCATGGCTACCAATGATATATAATAAAACCTAGACTGACGATGTATTCATTAAAAGTGTACATCAATGAAAAACATCTAAAGACACCATTTTAACGCCTGGTTAAGCGTAGCATATAAAAAAAATATTTTAATGTAAGCGAAGTAGAATAATATCCTAACCTCACAATTATTCCAAGGCTTTTCTTAAAAGAAAATATGTATTTAGCAGACCAAATTCAAATAATTGAAAGTATTCTGGATCTTTTATGAGTCACCAAAATATCCGTGCCACATAATCTCCAGCTGATTTGCATTCAACAAAGCTGTAATATGCATTATTGTGAATGAATCGTCACTCTAGTGTATTATTATAGCCCATTGATGCATATAAAATATTTCGTTTTTAATAAAACAAAGAGGATAACTTACTAATAGATTGGCTGATAAACATTTTAATTTGAGAGGAATATATCTAAAACTTGAAGAGTCTTATATGAGCCAATTATCAAATTAATAATTTCGGAAAGTTTTTTCGACATGCGCAATAGGTTTTGCATTCATTAATAATTGAGCGCATTATTTTAAATTTAAAAATCTGATTTTTCCAGAAATGAATTTCAATAGGATTATAATATCTACCATATAAATTTCAATAAATTTTATAATGAACTTTTAATGCAAAACCTATTGCGCATGTCGGGAAAACCTATTAAACTATCACCTTACCATAATTTCTTATTATAGTTTTTTTAGAGAAGATGTTATATATTCTTTAAATTGAACCTGTGCATGATTTTTAAAAAATAGCTATAATTTATTAAATTTCATATTATGACAAAATATTGTTAAATTCATTTACAGTTGAGTCTTTGAGCGGATCTGCATTCATTGAACAGCTTACTTCTTTTTGCTTCCTGATATCTTCACGATATTAGTTGGCTCCTTTAAGCTAATTATATATATTTTTTTAAAGTAATGATTAAAAAGCCTATAGATGGCGCTAGATATTATAAACGTTTCAATACACTAAAAGGATTTTTTATTCACTGTTTAAACCCATTTTAATGCAATAAATTGATTTTTAAAATTAACATAATGTGTATTATTATTAACAATTAACATATGATGGCCTAAATTTTTTTTATCAATATGCATAATATTACCAATGAATCGATTTTTAAATGATAAAAAAGTATTGCAATAAACGTTAAAGTGCCAAAATAATATATATATATTATTAGCAATATTTTTTTTGGAAATAAAGCGTCCGAACAAATTATTGAAGAAATTATCAGAAAAATATTAAAAGAAGAAATTTAAAAAATTAGGGTTCCCAGACATTTTGATAAAAAAGACCATATAAAATATAAAAAAATTATTTTTATTTCTTCCCCTAATTATAGACTTGATTATAAATATAGAATTTAATATTTAAGTTGATTTAATAATTAATTATTTAACAGCAACAATTTCTAAAAAAAAAATATGAGTCCAAAACATTTATCATACATTTAAGAATGCATTAATAATAAGTCAGGTACTATTGGTCTTTCATCAAGATGTATATGAAGAGTAGGTTTTCGATTATCAGTTGAGGTGTTTGTGCAATTCAGTGTGGATATTTTTTTAGGACAAACTAGCAGCTTTCTACCCCTCCCATGTCTGGTAACTGAAATATCAAAGGATATTTGCTAGTTACAATGCTTGTACCTCTCCCCCCATGTTAGAAGATTCTAGATGCTAAAACATGTTCTTTTCATTAATTTTTGTGTCTAGTTTATGAAAACAATATTTTTTCCCCATTTTTTTGCATTCTTTTATCATAAAGATAATAATCATGTTTTTTGGAAGAAAAAAAATGTAAATAAAATACCAATTTTTGTCATGGACATTTTTAAAGGGCACTTGCAAATGTTTTTGATTTGAAAAATATTTGCCTGAAGGTGGTTTTTTGGGTTTAATCTTTTCGGCACTGTTAAAATTGCAATATGCACTTTTGAAGTCTATATTTAAAATAATATTTAAATGATTTTAGATTTGGGCAATTTTATAAAAATCATTAAAATAGCTTAATCACAAAATAAAATCATAACATATATAGTTTTTGGTAATAGGAAAAAACCCCTGGAAAAAACCCCCATGGCAAAAAAACCCCATGGGAAAATTTTTTTAAAAAAAATCGTTATTTTTTTAAATTTTTATCTTGTCAATTTTTCTTAAATTTTTTCTCAATTTAATATTTTCTTCCCATTTTTGCTTTAAGTCATTGTTAATCTTTATTTTTCTGACCTTTTCTTAATTTTTTTTCATCTCAATTTTCACTAAATTTTTTAGTATAGCCTAGCAATAATTAATATTGATAATAATTTTATAACTGAATCAAAAAAAACACAAAATACTTACAAAAAAATATTTGAAGTAATAATGTCTATAATGTCAAGAACAGGATTTATTTCCTGATCCATTATATATATATATATACATGGATTTCGAAAAGTCTTCTATGAGCGAGGTTAAAAGTCATTGGTATGATTATTAACATGTTAAAGCATTTATATTTATTTTTTCAATTAGGAAATCACATCATAATCAGAGGATGCTTTTACCATTTGTGTCAAAGTACCCATATAAAAATTCAAAAGCTAGGTCTGGAAAGCCAATACAGAACCGATGAAGCCCTAAGCTTCTTTTGTGGCATGATGGACGACTTAGCATTTGTTCCTTTATGTGATATGGGCAATGCAATGGCATTCCTTAGATCTGTTACTCCAAGCAATGGTAAGGATATTCTTGAATATTTCGATAAAAATTACATCAGTGGAGTATCAAGGGAGGTCACAAGAAGCAATTCTCTATACCAGACAGGTTGAATTGGGCTTCAATTTCCTCCAAAAATATAAATCAGAGCACTATACTCAACGAATAACTCATAAATAATCAATGTGAAGGTTTGAATCATCGTTTTTCTAATTTGGTTGGGAATAAACACCCATCAATCTGGATATTAATTAAAAAAATGAAATGTGAGGTGGCTGCATGAAACCAAACTTAACAATGGCGTGTAGGTAGTTTGACACAGAAAACAAAATCGCAGTCAATAAACTAAAAAAAATGATGATGTTCAAATTGGTACTGGAAAAAAAATATTCCAGTAAAATAACCCATGTATTACTTATTTTCGCAAAAATTTTTGCTATAGTAATAAATATAATATCCATCTTAAATTACTATATTAAGTAAACTAATTGTCTATACCTTATTATCCAAATAAAAATATACTGATATTATTAGATCTTAAGTAAATTAGAAAAAAAATTTCGGGTTTTTTTCCAGGGGTTTATTTTACGGGATTCATAGTTTTTGCATGAGTTAAAATTTAATAAAACCTAACTTTTCATACTCCCCTTTATTGGCCAAATGTTTGGAACTATTTAATGGCAATCTAAATCCAGGATTCCCATCTCTATATATAATTTGTTTAGATTGTTCAAATTTTAATTTTTCATTATTATTAAATTCATAGGTTACACTTTGTGTGAATATAGCAGAAATTGGTGTTATTGGAAATAAAGTATTATGATGAAAAAAGTCTAATGATTTATGTTGAGCATTGTTTATAGCTTTATAAGGATTATTGTTTGGAGCTTTATAAGGGACATTGTTTGGAGCTTTATAAGGAATATTGTTTGAAGTTTTAGATTGTATATTTTTGTGAGGTTTAATTTGAATATTTTTTTGAGGGTAAAGATGAATATTTTTGTAAGGTTTATGTTGAATATTTTTGGATGGTTCAGGTTGAATACTTATTTGAGGTTTAGGTTGAATATTTTTTGGTGGTTTAAGTTGAATATTTTTTGGTGGTTTAAGTTGCATATTTTTATGAGGTTTATGAATATTTTTATGGGGTTTAGACTCAATATTTTTTGGAGTTATATCTTGATTATATATAGGACAGTAAGGATCATGCTTTAAGGAATTAGAATCATTTTGTTGTATTGTTGAGATTTCTTCATATGTAATAGAAAATACTAATTTATAAATAAAAAAATATATATTTTTTAAATTATTTAATATAGTTTTGACATAGAATCTTGATGTTAAATTACCTAAATATATTTTAAAATGCTTATTAATTTATATAATTTTACTATCCTCCATTTCATAAAAACTTGTATTCTCATGTTTGTTAATATTATGCTTATAATCAATTTTTTCCAAAATTTCAAGGGCATTTTCATATGTTTCTGTTTTTTTAATATTATCAATAATATTGTTCCTTTTTTTGATAAGTTGTTTTATTTTAATATCTATATTATTTGTTAATTAATAAATACAATAATATAAAGGTACCTGAATTTGTTTTACAAAATCTATAATATAATTTTAGAATATTTCTTAGAAACCAGGCCCTTAAATAAAATTTAATACAGATTTTAAATATAAAAACACACATCAATGGGATTATAACTAATATGCAACTAAAAAAAAATCTTGCTTTCCAACTTGATGGTAAATATATTTTAAATCCAATTAAGCCAATTATCATGGCAAGAGAAGAAAACACTAATAGTTTTCTATTATATTTTTTTAATTTTATAGTGTTAAGATAACATATTTCATTAAGTTTGCTTATATCCTATTATTTAACATAAAATTATTGTATACAAAATATAACCAACCCTATCAATATTTTCAATTATTATAACAGGAGAAGTTCTGTACTATAGAATTAGTAAAACTAAATATATATTATTAATAAATATACGTTAAATTTAGTAAAAATAGCACCCATAATAAAAATTCATTCATTCATTCATTCATTACCACGCCAGAAATTGCACCGTGCAATTATTTCATCACCCACCAGGAGTTGAAGTGTGCATCATGTATTTTCACTAGTATATAGATCCCATACATGATGTCTACCCGTTTTATTATAGTGGACGGTACCACTATGTAGCCAGTTAGCAAAGTGAAGAAGGAAGAAGTAATGGTGATGTATTAGTTCCGTTACCGGCAGAATAGTGTTAAGGAAAAAAATAAATAATGTCATATAAAAAATGTACCTGCATCCTTAAGTGGTATTTAGTGAGGCAACAAAAAATAATAACCCTTATATCTTGGTAAGTATTGAGAGTTTGTGTTAAGTTTGCATGAAGAGTCTCTTCCTTGTTTGTTGTTCGGTGTGCCAAATATCGTATGTCCTGTATATTACTGTGCCAATGATATTTGGGTTCGTCCGAGTTATTGCGTTATTATTATAACCAGTTTATCTTCTCATTGTCCATTATACAACTAATAGTTTCGTAATTGTTATCGTTATCGTCGCCGATATCGTGTGTCCAGAAAAAGAAGGTCGTGGGTTATTCCATTTATTGCAAGAACGTAAAGGGGAAGAACGGTTTCAATATTAATTTATTTTTAGATTATTTCTAAACCCTTGCTAATGAATCATGACGAGAAATTCATCATATCATATCAAGCACGTTGGTCCTTAAAAGTGCTAAATATTTCTAAACACGATCAGCTTTTGTCCAAATGCATGCTCAATGGATGTTAATTTTTTAATGTTATAACCAGGTGGATATTGTGAGGGAGCAGTGGCACTATGAGGGAGCGCACAGGGTCGAGGAAAAATTTGAATAGACCCCTGAAGCAAAATATCCTTGAACTAAAAATAATTTTTTGCGATTGCCCTCTGAACTGTTTCTTTTATAATTTTTAATTAATATGATAATTGATAGATAGATTCTTACAAATTTTTAAAAAATGCAAATCTCTTTGACAAGCATATCTTGCTTTTTTTTATATTCAATTTTTTTATAAAAAACAGAAGACGATCGAACATGTAATCTTTATTAAAATTCGTTGCTAGTAATCTGCTTTAGAAGCGTATAATTTTTAGAGTATCTTTAATTGTTCATCTAAAATTTCGTAGGTCTATTAAGTGAGTAAAACAATTGACAAATGACAATTTCTTATATCCAGGATTATGGGGGGGGGGGGGGGGGGACGTATTTTAAAAATTTTAGCGTATCCCATCCAAAAATTTTCAAAAAAATAAGATTTAAATTATAAATGGTTTTATTAGCTTATTATTTATTTTAAATGTAATACACATAAAATATTTTGATTATAAAATGGTAATATATTAACTTAATCAAAATAGAGTTTTGTAAAATGAGATTTTAAGCAAATTGATATCTCCAAGATTCTGTTAAAAAATAGGGGAGAGTAAGAGGAATTATTAGCTTAATCTTCCATAAAATTTCTTGGAGATCTTTATGTTCTTTTATAGTAGGCCATTGGCTATTACATATTTTTCAAAATAATTTTGATTATTTTACTTTATATGCTTATGTTCATAAAATTTTGAATAAGAAATATTTTAGAAAAATTATTAGCGTTTACTTTAGTCAATTTACCGGTATAATTGTATTTATATTTTTGAAAAATGGGGATAGGAGAGGGTGGGGGCCTTTGGGAAAATTTATTAGCTAAAGACACAAATTACAAAAACATGTAAAAAAAATTCTGCGGGGCCTCCCAGGGCTAAAAACACTGGAGGACCTCACGACCTCCAGACCTGTCTTTTAACTTAATTGCAGGGGCGTCGCTTGTCTTTACAATATAAGGGGGCTCAACTAAAATATTTAATGGGGGAATTTGCCCCTAATCCCTAATTTATGGGCCTTTGGCCCTATTTCCGGGCTTTGGCCGAGTTTTATATTTATATATTATACTTTTTTAAAATTTGCTAACTCTGAACATTATTCTGAATTTAAAATTTTGTCATTTATTATATTATGCATACAAAATAAACTAGCATATAAATAATTAAAATAATACACTACACGATATTTCTAAAAATAATATTTTTTAATACAAAATCTATTTATTACAGTATAAAATATTTTTGATTGCTGATATAAAAAAATTTTGCGTCTAAAGAATTACAAGTTATAAAAAAGGTTAATTAATTCATACATGTGCCTCAATTGATATTGGTTTTAAAAAACCATATTATATAATATAATTCTTAGTAGCTTACATTGACAAAAGGCATGAAACTTATATTACCATTTTAGACAATGTTTTATAGAATGAACCAATAAGAAAAAATTCATAGGCCTAACCAAATCAATAATTCTTGAAGAAGAGAATATAAATAACCAATCCAAATCATAAAACTATATGGTGGTTAGAGCTTACTCTTAGACATGTGGAAGCTTAAGTAATCAAGAAAATTATTGTGAGATATTAAATTTCTAAAAGATTATCTTCCATTTTTAATGATATATATAAACGACTACACAGTTGACCATTTTGCATATCTAAAATATGCAATCATATGCTCTCAGCTCAGCAGATGTAGTAATAATCTATAATTACATAGCCACAATCATAATAGATGCTGGTAATTTGCAGTCATAGCCATGACACTCACGATGTTAACTCGAATTTATTATGTTAGATAAATTGATAAAACAAAAACATTGAAAATCTTTAGAAGAAATTATGCAAATATATTGAAGCTATGAGTTACTTACACATATGAAACATTTTGTAACTATAAAATAAGAACCAGAGTGGTAGATTTTATATATTATTGTTTCACCACCTCTAGTTGGTATATTATATCTAATAATATAATAAAATTAAAAATATACTGGTATTAAAAATTTAACTCAAAACTGTTTTTCTGAAGAAAAAATAGCTTTCCTATAAACATGTAAAAAAAGAGAAGATAAGATATCTAATTTATTACATCCATTGCGGGATGAATATAAAGATATATTTTTAAATAGATGGTGTTAAAGAATTGTATACAAATTGTAACTTATATTTATTATCAAAAGCATATATTGGTAAAATTTATTTAAATATTAGCTGTTTTATATTATATAACTATCAAATACGTCTGTAAAAGTGGCATTTTACCTAATATTTTATAAACAATTGTATAAAATAGAGGATTATAAAGTACTACTTACTTTTATAAATAAATCATTTATACTTGTTTGGACCTTGAAAATATTTTCCAATGTTTTAAGAAATTAAAACATTTGGTACAATGAATATCTTAACATTCCGTATACCTATATATAGGCAAAGGGCCTTATTTCTGGTCATCGGCCTAACTTACATAATTTCCGAACTCAGAGACGCATATAATTATACAAAGAAAATATTTGTCTTTATTTTGAAAACGACGATATATGATATAATACAAGAACGAGGTTATTGTGGGGGGACTCGTTCCTCGGGGCCCTGTGCCTGTTCCTCGGTGGAGGTCCTTGCATCGGTTTTCTCTCTCATATCGTCCGTCGTCAAATTTATCGTTTAATAAAATATGGCCTGATTGAAGTCCCTCTCCAGACTGGCTAACGCTTTCTTGCTCAAGGCATGGCAGTGCGTTTTCGATTCTGTGGAGACCCTCTATATCTATATCGTGTAGGACATTGTGAGCTCGCTCGTCCCCTATCCAAAACTTGCTTGGTTCATCCACTTAGTTGTCCTCTGATGCAGCGTTTACATGACAGGATTTTTTCTGGCTGGAAACCTCAAAAATCTATGCCTACCTATTAATTTATCTGTTTAATTACAATGATACTCTTTCAGAAAATATAAAAATTATAACTTAAATTATTTTATTTCTACTATCAACTTTCGACATTTTGTGAATATAAAGGAGCTATTTTTTAGATAATAAATTCAATTAAAACCCCCATCATTTACAACGAATTGATTATTATAGCCTTATAAGCTTGCGGGAAAATGTGTAAACCTTTTAAATTACATTTTAAAGGATAGCAGAAAGTTTTATTTGGAAAATAATGTCTCTGATTGTTTGCAATATATAGATTTGTTTGATGAATTGTAATATAATAGGTCTATAATAAAAGCATTATGCAAACTGTTTTTACCCCCCCCCCCTCCCGTTAATGTAGATGCTGCTATGACGGGATTTACGTAAGGTTTCTTGCAAAGTGAACAAAATAATGGAAATCAACAGATAGCATAATCTTTGTTACTAGATGTTCGCAGACTCGCGACCTAGACGCTCCCTTCTTGATGTATAGGCCACTTGACTATTTTTGACCAGGGAGGGTATCGTTTTATATCTGTTTAGGCCGTGCTTACATCCCACCTATATTGCTAGGAGCTCCTTTTGATTGATGTGTGCCTTCGGCAGATCTGGTATCCCTAGAGCGTGCTTTAATCGTCGAAGGTAAGAGATTATTTATCCTCTAATGCTCCGCGATGCCTAGTCAATGATGACTCCACGGTTCATAAATGAAGATGAAAGAAAAGGGCTTCATCTGTGTCGCTATTGTGAACAAAGTTGCCAGAAAATTTTCAAATTGCGGGAGAAATTTGGTATTATGCGGGAGAAATATAAAATTTGCAGTAAAAATATAAAAATTGCTAAAAAAAATTTTGCGGGCTCATCGTCCGGGATTTTGAATTGACTTAATTATCCGCCTATTATTTTTTATTTAGTTTATATAAATACAAAGTCGGTAACTATTTTTCAAATTAAAATAATATCTTGATTTATTAAAATATATTAATTTATAAAAAAAAATCAACTATCTTTTTAAATATAAAAGAATGTAAGCAAGATAAAATTTTATAAAAAAAAACGATTTTAATTTTACAATTAAAAATATAATTTATGGTCCCGCAAAACGACCGCAATAGGAAATCTACCGTGTGTGTATATAACATTTTAGGGATAGGCGCTTAATTATCAAGTATCACGTTTAAATACATAATAAGGTAATCCAAAAATAAGTAATAATACAGAAGAAACTACAGTTGCAGCAATTGTAATCACTTATCTTGTAGTACAACATTCACAGAGATACTTAACATCACAATGTTGGTAGAATCTTTTTCCTATAATATTAAACTATACTTGTAGAACAAAAATGAGCAAGGCTATCATCAATGTTTTAGGACCTAAATCCAGGAAGTCAATTCTTGATGATTTGAAAAATGGGCATACATGTGCAGTTCTAACAGAGGAATCTAATAAGGGAAATATTAAAATATTCCCTTGATCCTCCGCTATTTCAACAAAATTAAGGACGTTTCAAGAAAATTATTAAATTTTTTCCCCATAAATAGTGAAAAATTTAAAGTAGTTAACCA